AAATAAACATTGTCGTCTGCGTAGATCCATAGCCGTTCTAGGTAAGTTTTGTTCTCAAGCAACGTGGGACATATAATTACTATCGCTTCAAACGCAAACCTATATTCAGTTTCTAAAAGATCCAAAATCCACTGAGTTTTACCCGACCCAGTTTTACCCACGATCAATGCGCAGTGTGGTGATTTAAACATCTGGTTCATTATATTTTAAACTCGATCTAATATAACAGGCTCTTGTACATCTGGATCTTTTTATTTAACAAACTTAGTAAACCAAACTCTTAAAATTCCCGTCTTCTTCTGTCAATTGAGCGTCCATTGCCAAAAACATGTACATCGTCAAAGGTCCTGCGGTTTCAGCTTTGCGTTCCATCTGTATCGATGTGTCACCACCTCTGCCAAGTGGTCTACCCGACCCATGCGCCGAATTATCGTCCGAACTCCTAAAATCGAGCCAGATACTGTTCTTATCTTTCAAATAGTCGGCCATGTCTACTCCGGTCAAGTTCAGGCCTTTGGTTAACGCGCAAGCCGATTCCGTATCCAAGTCACCAAAGTACTTGTTTACTTCATTCCAATTTTGATACTCAAACAGCCCTTGCGAATAGAGCTGGTTCATTTACCTTCGACCGTTACGACCGTTTTACTGATGTGCGGATTGTAAAATCTCTGCAGGTTCTTTACGTTTGGATCTTTGAACAGAATCAAGATGCCTGTTGGACTCTTAATTGTTTGATCAATGCTGATGTTGATGTTCCATAGCGTATCAGACTTGTTTACCCCTTGTTTTTTCCACGACTGAATCCTGTCAAAAAGGTAATAGACGGTGCTTTTGTGTTTACTCCTCAAACTTGGCGCCAGGTCTCGATTGGTTACTACTTCATATTCTAAAGTCAAATCCGAAATTGCGAAATTCCGTGGCCGTGTCTGTCGAGTTAACCACTTTGTCGTGACCGTTAAAAGTCAACTGATATGTCAGAGGTTCTTTAAACCCTGACGGATAGAAAGGTCCATGGTCCATCAACATCGGCGTGTCTAACGACATCACGTATCAATTTTTAAAAGCATCTGCAATTGCTTTATCTTTACCATTGTTTGCAGCTTCGTTTTTGTTGCCCGCACCTAAACGCAACTTGGCCATGTTGTCTCAAATTCTAAACCAAAGTACGCCATGTTTTTCGTCTGTGAAATTGGTAGCCAGTTATGAAATACGTCCGCGTCTCGGTAACTGACGATTTTGTTTCCCTGTAGGCTAACATTGATTTCTGAAACCAGGTTTTGCGCCACATTGTTAAGCACGGTTCAATTGTAGTCTGAGGCTCCGTCTAGGTCTAGTTTAAAAGCAAGTTTCACGGTACCCGGAACAATTACGTTGTCTATGCCTAAAGCGGGGAATTTTACGTTTAGCGTGTGGTGTGCTGCGATGGTGCTCGGGTTGTGAGTAATGGTTACTTCACATCTTTCACCCTTGATCGCGCGAGGTACTTTGGGCCTGCAACTCGGGTTTAGTTTTTTGGCGTATTGTTGGGACATTTTTCTTAATATATATAATTTTTAATTTATTGGGGTTTGAAAGTTCACTGGAAAACCTTAAACAGGAAAAAAAATGCTATTAAAGTTAAGCCCGCTACAAAATAGTTTTTCATGTTCCATTAGTTGACTTTTCTTTCTAATCGTCTCGCTTTGTATCTCCAAAACCATGTCGCCAACATGATCGATATCTGCACGCATGTCGCCCAGCATCTGCCTTACGTCAATTAAGTCAGCTTGTATGTCTACCAACTTGTTTTTAATTTCTTCCTCCTTTCTTTCCATTTTTTAAAATAGAGTCAATTTAAATGTACCAATATGACAAAAAACCAACCAAAGTAGTTCCGCCTAAAACCCATATAAATTTGGGCATTTTTTGGTCTTCGGAAGGTTCGTAAAAATCATGTAACTTGGGTTCTGGTGGTAGACTATTATACAAGTTTTTACCCGTCAACTCCGAGTAAGCCCGTAAAGCTTGGTCTACGTCTACAAACGTCCGTTGGCTTGCAGCCTCTCATCGCACTCGCTCGTTTAGAAAGTCAAGCATGTGTAAGCCATTTTGCTCCCACTTTTCTTTCGCTTGGTTCAATTGTTCTACGGCTAAGTCGTGGCGTTTTTGTTCTTCGTCGACTTTACTGTTTGCCAGACTACCAAACAAATAATTTGAACCTCCAAATGCCAGAGTGTTTACTATCGCTCCTCCCACCGTCATTAAAGCGTTAGCCATTTTATTTTACAGTTAGTTCACTTTTAAAAGCTTTAACTTTAAAAATGAAAAAAACTTTTAAAAAACTGTTTTACAGCCCACAGGGTTATTGGAAAGGTGAAAGCACTGTCAATGCAACGCAAAAGACGGGTGCAGACAAGTCAAGTATTAAAAACTGGTTAAAAAAGCAGGCTATTTGGCAAATTTATTTACCCCCGCCAGATTACGTACTGAGGCCTAAAACGTTACAAACCGAGTTCGTCAAACCAAACGAAGCGCATCAGTTGGATATTTTATACTTACCTTGGGACTGAGTAAATCGTAAGACTTATAAATATGCTTTGACTGTAGTAGACGTCGGTTCGCGGTACAAAGAGGCAGAACCGTTGACCAGTAAAACCTCCGGGCAAGCGTTAGGAGCCGTGAAACAAATTTATAAAAGATTGCCCTTGACTTGGCCTACAATTATAATGGTAGAATCGGGGTCAGGATTTAAAGGTGAGTTCAAAAGTATGTTTATTAAGAAAGGCGTATCGGTATAAATAGGTGAACCAGGCGTACACAGGTCACAGGGTATCGTGGAAAGGTTTAACGTACTTTAGCAGAGCGTTTATTCGGTCATCATTACGTGCAAGAAATGTTAAACGTAAACATAGGTAACGTAGAATGGGTACAGCATTTACCCCAAGTCGTGAGATCATTAAATGAGGAAAAAACGTGTTTAATCGACGAAGAGCCTGCCGAAACTGTCAAATTAGATCAAGTATGGCAAACACCGAGTGCACCTGAAAAAAGCACAGAGCGAGAACTTCCTCCAGACATGGTTGTTCGGTATTTATATTACCCGGGTGAGCAAGAAGGAGGAACCGTCAGAAGAGCAACAGATCCCATTTGGTCTGTGGACGTTTATCAAGTAGAGAGGTGTACCAGTCAGTTTAAAGGGGTAAAAGGTAAACGCGTGAAAACAGGTCCCACTTTGTACTATCTGTTAAACGGGCCAAAAGGAGTTTTGTAAAAGAAGAGCTTCAGGTTGTACCTGAGGATACAGAATAACCACCCGAGAACGCTTAGTTTTTTGTTGTCTGTGCGAGTAGATCTAAGCGCCAAAGTCAAGGTGGCTTTTTTTAACCTTAACTGCGCAAAAACTGAATTAAGAGCCTTTTCTTTTTCTTTAAAATCTGAGTTATACACCCAGTGATAAACAATTTGCATTGTTCTTTTGTCTTAACAGATTGCTTAACTCGCTCTAGGTCAGATGCTTTGAATCCTCTAATCCTCAATTGACAGTGCCCGTAAGCTAACAACCCCGTTTGGTAATATATAGCGCTTTGTGTCTAACGGTGAGAGGCTTAATTTATTGTGCGACACCGTGAGTATCTGACGTTTGTCAGACCTAAATAGCTGTTGTTTGTTATAATGCTGCACCCGTTCAAATAGGCAACTTTTATGCATATCGTGCGACAACCGTTTTTGAGTTACTACTTTAATGACACCTTTTGCTTTCTTTAAATTTTGATCTTCCGTTAAAATCGAGTACATTTTCGGACTTATGCAAACCACTCCTGAAATGACCTTACCCCCAAATTCGTTCTTCATCTTGCCTATAACTTTTTTGTTTTTCGGATCGTAAATTTTATGGTCGGGTGGGTAATTGCTTAAGTCGAATAGTTTGTTTTTTACTCAAGTAGCCATTTAAATCGTCATTTTGAATCTGAACACGTAAACTGTTCGTATCTGTGTAAAGTAAATTTACTTTATCGCCAAAATTGGATTTTAGTTCGTTGTAGTAGAAATCATACATTAGAGTTTTGGATAGGTCGAGCACGTTTACGCCGCAGTAAATGGGCTTGTTTAATTTGGTTTTTACCCGATACATTTCCACAAATGAAAGGTTGCACTCTTCAAATGGTGCCGTCGATTTGTAATTCCGTTTAAAGGTCATTTTTTTTTACTTATTTGCGTCTTGTACGTCTCTCAATAAATGGCCGTCCATTCGAAATCTAACATTTTCCATCGCCTTGCCAAAAACCGAGTTGTTCATCAGTTTGAAGAAGTCAGAGTAACTCGACTACTGTGCTGATATGGATACAGTCTGAATCATGTAGCTTCAAAGTCTTTGTCGATACACTTTGTCGAAATCCAGACTTCGATAACCAGCAGTGAACGGCATTAAGTTCGTTCCGTCGACAACCCAGCAGATGACATCATCAGAGGACTCTCAGTTTCAGAGTTGGGTCAGGGCTCCCGTTGGGACCAATGGGACTTCGTGGTTTTTTGCCAAACCTGACATGTGGCAAAGTGTCAGTTTTAGCCCAAACTCGCACCACATCAACCACTGATCACAGCAAGATGAAAGCATCTGTCTTCTGTGGTCTCACTTCGGCAAGCCCTGTGGCTGAACTCAACTTCAGCGATCACCGAAGTTACTCTAACCTTGTCAGTTCCTTGATTGGAGAAGTCTTTCCAGCAGAGAGAGAGGAAAATGTGGTTTTCCACAATGTATAAGTGAAGTAGAAAACAAACTTGTATGATGAGCTAGATTGGACACCTTCCAAGAAGATATCACTTTTGCTCAATTTGTCCTAAAATTTTTAATTCCAAATTCAAGGCCTGTATGGTGTCAAAAGCCTTCAAGTTCATAAAACACTGCAGTGCACGGAACCTTCTATTGATCACTCATCATACATAATTTACTACATGTATGACTAGTACTGTGCATGTACCTCAATAAATTCTCTGCCGCAAAAGCCTACAATGCAACAAACCTTGCTTTCAGTTGAAAATTTTTCTCGGTGACAAGGTCTTTTGCTTTGGTTTTTGTAGCTAGTTGTACTTTCAATCGATCCTTTTGTTCTCTAGGTGTATAATGACTCTTTCTAGCTTGACGAAGGTTGTTGACTTGCTGATCTAAGCTGGAGCTTTGTTTACGAAGATGTTCAACATCAATTGATTCTCCAAGTATCAACCCTGTTGAGAAAGTCAACAAATGGGAATAAATACATAATGGAATCACAACTGGAAGACAAGTTACTTTAAAGCAATGACTTTTTCACTTTCTAAGAAATATCAATTGTGTTTTTGAGCAACTTAAAAAACTGCAGTGACATATTACATGAACTAAATAAGTTCTGTAGAAGACTGTGATGGCTGTAGTTTCATTCCCTGTCACATTTCTATGCTCATCGGAAGTAGAGTGTCTGTCTGTAATAAGTGATCCACTTTAGGCCTCACTCAAAATTACTCCTGCTAAATGTAAATACTCCTGCTAAACGTTGATTGTTGCCAAATTTTTCAGGGTTGAAGTAATGAGGAAAGTAATTGAGTATTGGAATTTCCAATAGGAAGTTGTAGATGAGAGATACATGTACAAGATGAAGAGCCCAACACCCTGATCACAACAGGATTTCACTTTTGCATAGGATTCATCTTTTTTTTATACTGCCTGTATAATAAGCTCTTTCATAGAGACTACATGAAGTCATAAAATTTAGAAGAGACTAAAAAAATCATAAAATAATGCAAGAATGAAGTAACACAAATGCCCTACCAAACCTACTCCTAAATTCACAACTTAAATTTTCAGATCACAAACAATATTTGTCATTTAGCAACTGTGACTTTAACTCTTGACATTTTCAACTTCAATGCAAAAGGCTTATGGCATTGCTGAAACGATGCCTAAGCCATATTTGAAGTTCCTAAGCAGAGTATTTCTCAAGTTACTGCACTGAAAAGATTTCTATGACCTTGACCTTTTAGACCCAATGGATTTTTAACTCAAAATTACCTAAGAGCAATCCACAAATCAAATTTGAAGTTTGTACTAAAAGTACTTCTCAAGTTATAGAGCTGGAAGGTTTAAGTTGTTTTAAACCTTTGTGACCTTGACCTTGAACCTTTCATCCCCAAATTGGCTTGGATGGCATTTTACACTAGCAAATAGAGGCAGTTACTTTTCAATGGCATATATTACCGACTGATGATCAATAAATACCAAAATACCAGAAAACTTTGTATTAAAGGAATATCCACACCACAGTATTCTTGCTAATGTGTTTGGAACGTTTGCTGAACCCTTTTAATAGGACAATGAAATAGAAATTTACACTGCACAATTCTTGTATGAAAATAAAAGTTTTGATATGAAGAGTGGTATTTCATGTGATGTGATGATTGTTTTCGGGCCAAATAGGGGAAAAAATTTGAACAAGGTGTATGGTGTGCAAGTAGGGTAAGGAACTGGCTTGTGCACCGTGTGGGTTGGCAGGGCAGAAGCTTCATGTACATGTATACATGAGGTTTCTAAACACAGTCCTTACTTTATCCTCAGGAATCATTTGCCTACAGGAAATAAAGCATTCCTCTGAGTCTGTGTTAAACACTCTAGGTATAAGGTCAAACTCAGTAAAGTTGTTTTGAAACCTTCTAACCACTTGAAATTGAATATGTCAAACCATTCTATTGAGGTTTACATGTACATGTATGCTCTTGTTCCGATGAAGTCATTTTAAAGGAATTCCCCATTTCTCCCCATAAGTACTACTCAAATATTATTGTTCTGAGCAATTCCTAGTAATTCATAATAATTCTTTCAGTGTATATTTCTAGACTGACTTGATGTCCTTGTAAACCTGTCTTTTGGGGGTTGATATTGTTATTCAGAGCAACTGTCTGTATTTCGTTGTTTCTTATACTATGTAAATTTCTACATAGAAATGTAGTTTCCTCTCACAAACCTACCATTTCTGCCCATGGGTATGACATTAATATTATTATCACACTGAGTAACTGTCTGTAATTCATCACGTCTAATTTTTGGTAAATTTTGAAATTGAGCTTGATGCGGTCATACAGCTGAAATAGAATCACTGGAATTATATATGTTGGTTCTGATGTTCTTCATATTTGCATTTGACCAACATTTGGCATACGGTAGTTTCCTTCAGCATTCTATTTGTCATTTTAAGATACAACATTTTCTCAATTTAGTTTTGGGGAATCCTGGGTCTTGGATGCAACACCAGAAACAAAAAGGAAAATTCCTGAAATTCTGGGAAATTTTGCGGGAGAAGTTAAAATTTGGAAACCTTGGTAGTTTTAAAAAAGGGGCAAAAAGGGATAAACTTGGCAAAAAGGGGCATTTTGGGGAAAAGGAAGGGGGAATCTCCTTTCCCACATTAAGTGTGAGTCAGGTCCACCAGAGAATACCTACCCAAACAGTCACTGTATATGCAAATGTCCCATGTGCGTATTATTTATTCCCTGAAAAGATTTGATCATCTATGGTGCACCCTCACCTCCCACAATGCAGCGCGGCATGATCATCCTTTTCGAAAGCTACTCAAAAGGTCGGAGCCAGAGTGGGGAGGACAGGTGGGAAAGGACTGTTTAGGTAGGTATTCTCTGGTAGACCCCACCCACACTTAATGTGGGGAAGGAATCTACAGCACTCTACCTACCCAAACAGTCACAACATATGCAGAGTAGCACCTGTCTAGGTGGGGGGTTGGCAACGACACATCTAATGCCAAGAATGTACTTTTAAATATAAACAAGGAGGAATGTATAAATTTAGGAAATGGTAAAGGAACTTCATAATGACTTGTCGTCCTAGAGGAGGTCCCTTCAACTTCTGTGCTGCGGACAGTAGGATTGTCCTGCCATTTGCGGTGTCGCTCTGCAGGACATTCCTCAAGTTGCAGGAGGTAGAAGGAGACTACCAACAGGCAGCTCTGCAGATGTCTGCAATGGAAACATCTCAAGAGTGAGACCAAGATGCAGATACTGCTTGTAGGGACGGAACAAAAAATACAGAGACCGTTCACATGCGTTCGCACGCGTTCCCTTCCGTTCTGCATGCCCTCCCGTTCACCCCCGTTCCAAAGAGCACTTTGGAACGCGTTCTCAACCGTTAGCTTGCATAAGTGATTCAGAGAGTATTATTATGTTAATTGGCCGTTCCAGTGCATGCGAGAATGCCAGGGTCACAACTAAGATGTGAAGAACATGCATACAAGCTGTTCTTGAGCCTTGGTTGAATAAGTGTCACCAGTGTTTGGTCCGGTAAGATGTTTTTTCTTCCCTCTTATAAAAGCTCATTCTGTCCCTTTGATGTACCGACTTCCCACATTACATTATACATTTTTAATAAAAACCCTTGTGGTCAAGGTTTTGGTAAAAAATGTTGAGGAGGGAAAGAAATAATATATTTTGATTGGTTGTGTGCTTGAAATAAGGAAAAAAATGAAAACAGGTAGAGGAAAAACAAACAGACCACGTCTAGGTTTAGACAGAAAAAACGCCAAGGAGGAAAGAATTTATATATTTTGATGGGTTGGGATAGATGCTCTGAATAAAAATGCAGTGGTGCCAGGAAAAAAATAAAAGCCACAAGTGGGAAAGGTGTGGATAGAAAATAAATGCTGAGGATAGGAAGGAAGAATTAACATTATTGGCGGGTTGGGTGCTATAAATAAAAAAAATGCAGAGGTGCTGGGAAAATTTAAAAACCAGACGTGGTCTAGCTTTGGATAGAAAAGAAATGCCGAGGAAGGAAGAATTAATATTATTGGCGGGTTGGCTGCTCCAACTAAAAAAGAGACTGTGGTGCAGAAAAAAATTAAAACCTTAAAGAAATGCCAAGGGGGAAAAGAATTTATATTTTTGGTGGGTTGGGTGCTCTGAATAAAATAACTGGGCGGTTGTGTTAGTGAAAAATAATAAAAACAACACGTGATCTAGGTTAGGATAGAAAATGCCAAGGAGAGAAGTATTAATATATTCTATTTTATCGCTTTGGGATAAAATGCATTACTCACCACAACGCACGTTGTTTAGTCTGTGAAACAGTCCTGGTCATCTGGTTTATACGATGGGAACAAGGTGCTACTGTCTCACCCATCACTGTCTTGCACTAGCTGGCTTATTCAGCAGAGGCCTAACAGGGTTCAGAGAATGTAGTACATGAACTTCTTCCGGGCCCAGACACTCAAAACTGTCTGGAGGGGAATAATTGGTGAAGCCAGAAGGCCACAAGGAAATAACTTTTGAACCACAGCAAGTTTGGCACTAAAAATGGGCCACTTCGGCTTAGATTTTCGAGGTGGCAACACACAAACTAAAACTCTGCTGGTTTGATTGCTGCTTTTTTACAACAGTTGCTCTCTACTGCCGAACTGTTTCAGTCGTTTTAGCCAAGGGGGTGGTTCCATGGATCTGTGTCTGACATTTCCTTTACACACAGAAGAGGCAACCTTATGGATTGCTGAAGTTATCACTGGAATTTACAGGAGTTGGCTTGCGAATTGGTTTCCTGGGACTGCGTGCGACAGGTTTGCAACATTTCTTGTACACGGACAAGCTGCTGAGATTGCCAGCACCTTTCCCCAGCTGGGTTGCCGAGCACCGGTCACGGCGCAGTATGCCCTGACAGCAACAGCAGCAGAAGCGCCGGGCCCAACGGTCGCCTACACCGTATGCCCCCTATCGCCCCCGCGGTCGGCCCCGCAAGTCCTCAGCTGCTGAGTCCAGGTCAGCGCCTACGAGTGCCGGAGCCTTCACCACTACGGTTGAAGCGGATCAGGCCACCACATCAGTCGGTAGATCGATGGCAGAGGATACCGGTGCGGCAACGTGCCCCGCCACAGTGACGAGCGGACAGGCCGGGAGTCTCAGCGCAGGTTTCGCTGGAAGCAGATTGCCCGGAACATTCACCTCTTCAGGTGGTGAGTCCAGTTCAATTGCCTTAGGACTGCAACCTGACGCAAAAACACACCAGAACAATACTGGAAATTCCCCAGCAGTATCAATTTAATGACACTTTGAAAAAAGTTGTTTGTTTTTAGGGCTCGCAAACACCCACTTTTGCTCCCACTCCTTTTGCATCGGAGCGGCGTCAACCGCATTCACATTGGGTTTTCCCCTTGAGCAGATCAAGACAACGGGACGCTGGCGTTCGGAGGCCGCTC